TTAATGTGAAATGTTCTTATAATAAAAGTTTGATTGGAAATATTGGATACTTTTTTCTATTTTCAGGTTTTTTTTATTGTTTTTGGTCGGTTTCTTGCAATTATTAGCAATAAGCGACAGCGTGAGAAACTGACTTTACTCAGATCTGAGAACAAGAGGGGTTATTATAAGAATGGCAGGCTCGTTATTAAGGACATGCCAGCTACTACTCTGGAAGGTGATGAGCATCAGTTCGCAGATCGCGAACATCGTCAACTGTGGATCAGGAGCGGGTGCTGCCGTCAAGGTCGAAGGTTATGCAAAAACATATCTTACATTGCAAGGAATATAGAAGATTTAACCAACAAACTGTCCGATATTTGCTGTGTTTCTTTTGTATCTGAACATGATATCGTTGCTTTATATGAAACACAGTCAAAAGAACATTACTTCCATTTTTCCAGAATATAAACTTTTTTGTTGAGCAGCCATAAAAAGATCCGTATTCGGGGGGAATACTTTTGATAATATATTCACTGGTAAGATTTGTTGTTGATATTCGAAACATAGAACATGCTATTACTATTCTGTTGGATAAAAGTATGTTTTGTTTCAGTAGAGCTACATTATGTGTGTTTACAAATATCCAGCCGGAGAGATCGACCTGGTAATAATAACAAAGATAGACAAAATGGGGTAGAGATTTTGCTGTATTTTATATTGAGTGCACTGGAAGAGTACCCAGTTGTATCTATCATTGTACTTGGATTTGTTTGTGTGTTTGTTTGTTGTTTAACGCCGCACTCAGCAATATTCCAGCTATATGACGCGGTCTGTAAATATTCGAGTCTGGACGAGACAATCAGGTGGTCGACATCATGAGCATCGATCCACGCAATTTGGATATGATGACATGCATCAACCAAGGCAGCGAGTCTGACCACCCGATCCCGTTTGTTTCCTCTTACGACAAGCATAGTCGCCTTTTATGGCAAGAATGGCTTGCTGAAGACACCGGATCTTGACGGGTCCATTGTACATGAAGAGTAGAACCGGTGTGACGCGGGACTATGTGGAGAACGATGTTATTCACCATGTTGATAGTAATAATTACCTAGTAGATTTTTTACGGGGCGGTCGGTTAGCCCAGTGGTTAAAGCGTTTGCTCGAAGACCCGGGTTCGATTCCCGACAATGTGTGAAGACCATTTCTGGTGTCCCCCGCCCTGATATTGCTGGAATATTGCTAAAAACGGCGTAAAATCATACTCACTCACTCACTAGTAGATGTTTTTACACAATTTGAGATGGCAAGATATTCATGTGATAAATTACTAAATAACCTTGGAAAAACTCTTTTGGAAATGTGTTCAATTCTGACCATACATATTGTGAATGGAAGATTTGGAACTGACAATCAAATCAGTGACTACATTTATTGGGCATTTAGTGAGTGAGTGAGTGAATTGGGTTTAACGCCGCTTTTAACAGTATTCCAACAAACAAGACAATATCATAAATGTGAATGTTAAAACTCTGCAGCACAGAAGTCTTCATATCAACATGTGCTGAAAACTAAAAAGGATCATAGAGAAGTACGCATCTTATCGCACACTCATCTCTGTCATAATCAATGCAGAGTGAGTGAGTGAGTTAAAATTTTAAGTCACATCGGCAATATTTCAGCCATATCGTGACTATCAATGGTTAAATATAATACATATATTGAAACTTATATAAAAACGTGCTAACGAAGGACAGTAAAATAACTAGACTTATCACAGAAATATTTTTAAAACTAGTATGGAATCATAAAATTGATAGCACTAAATATAACATCACGGTATAAAAAACGGGCTGTAGATCGCCAGCAACTGAAGGTAGATCACCATACTAGGTACCATGGGGACTTTCAGTACTTTAGCTTCCTGCATGGAACCCAGCAGGATTTACATCATCCCTTCAGTTACTGGTGATTGTACGCAAAATTAGCCACAATTAAAATTACAAATATACTAGCAGAACTATTCTTTGAATGAAATGGACTTACTATATCCTCTCAGGGGGACAATAATTTTACACTACGTCAACCCCCTTTGAGGATACTGCCAGTAACAAACTCAGATATAAATTCATTCTACCAATTTTAAAAGGTCATTCATTTTATACAAGACATATGATCAATATTTACTATACATAATCAATGCAGAAGTAGGGATGATGGATTTGATAATGAAGTCATTAAACGAAAGTTACCCTCAACCATTATTGAGGCACATACTGACAACTTGGTAAAAGGCATGCACAGTTTCCCCTACTTCAAACACAAAACTTTATTATGACTTATAAGATTCCTTAAACATGATAAATGGGTATCAAGTTGAATTTTGTGGCATTTGAAAGAAGAATTCATTAATTTCTAAAAGTTAAACTTGTTGCCATGGAAAAATAAAAAAACATAATTTCTAAAATTTCTAAAGAGCAAAAGGCAACAGTTCAGCAGTTTCATGAAAACATATTTAACGGTTTATGAGTTATGCTCCGGAAACGAATCCTACACTCACAGAACCTAGGTCAATCTTGCTCCCATGGAAACGTAAAAAATAAAATTTTCTAAAATTTCTTAATAGCCAAAGGCACCAGTTCAGCATGTACCTGACAGACCTGCAAAGTTTCAAATATTTAACGGTTTCTGAGTTATGCTCCGGTGACGAACGGACGTACGGACGAACGAACGGACGGACAGACGGAGCCCGTTTCTATATCCCCCGCCAACTTCGTTTGGCGGGGGAAAAATAGAATTTCCTTCGTTGGGCGGGGGATAATACAATTTCCGTCTTATCTTGAAACAAAGAGAAAAAACACCAATAAATGCAGATGGTGGAAACATTGTCATCCGACCAGACAAACCGTCTAGAACAAAGATCTATGCTATTACAGCACAATGACACAAAATCAGCCACTTCACATATTGTAACTACTGAAACATACTGGTATATTAATATGCTGTTGCAATTTTCAAAATGTAACGGGGACTTATTTCACAAGGGGAAACCCAGTTCACTCAAGATGACCACTGGCGACTGCATGTATGTGCATAAGATTAATGCCAATTCTACTGGATTTCGGGTGTGTGCACAATCGCCCTTTTGAGAATAGTGAGCCAATTTGTTGTTTATTTATCAGTAGATATAAAATAGTGCACCTTGTCACGTTTCTCTGCATAGTCCGGCCGCGTCAAATAGACATATCAGCGTTTAGTATTCTAAATGTTCGGTACGAGAGAGCTAGGCATTCCGAGCGGCATGTCTGATGAATGTATCTCGATTATCATGCTTCTTTCAAATGAAAATAAAGGATGTGCCATTATGGTTTGGAGGATACTAAATACACCCTGTCGTTGCTGAGGACTATGGCATCTGGAAAAATCAAGAGTCGATCGAAAGAACATATGTGTTCCGTGTTGGTTTTCTTTATGACCTCTTTTGGAGAGTTTATCTGATCTTCACTTAAAGGTATCATGGTATTGATATTGATGACATTGCTCTAAACCATCCAGATTGTACTGTACTGACATGTGCTGTGTTGACACAGTGGGATAGTTTGATGACGACGCTGGTCTGTCTTCAGAGAAGATATTTCAGCAGTTGCAAAAATAGCTCACATAGAGACTTGCATAATAAACTGCCCAGTACATCCTGCATGAGTATTGACCAGATTTCGTCAGCTGTCAAACTGTTCTGAGTGGATGTTTTTACACCTTTTATCAACAGCAGTTACATCATGTGAAGTGTCTAACTTGACAATCCTTTCGATGATTTTGCACATCTGGCATCTCTGACAAGGTAGGGAGATTGTACTTTTCAAAACTTGGATACAAAAACACCAGTTAGTGGCTGTGAATAAAAATCTGAAATTCAATAAATGATTTGAAAAATCAGTCAAATATGAAATAGGCAGACTACCTAACTTCAGCAGATATTGTTTTCGTAGTTCCTGTCTTCAGGTTTCAGAGAAAATATTTAGGTGATGCTAAGAGGTTTGAAGACGTTTGTGATTCACTGTTCATGCAACGGAGAAACTGTTTGCCTGGCCCAGATGATATTGTTATCCTTGCACAACAATTTGGGGACATTGTGGGATAAACCAGAACGCTTATGACAAAGATAATTTGATTTCAGCAGTGTCTGCAAGCCTCGAACGACATGGGTAAAATGTGTGAAGCCCATTTCAATTGTCCTCCGCCGTGATATTGCTGGAATATTGCCAAAAAAGTAAAACCGTTCTCACTCACTCACTCTTAGTACAGTACAGTACCTCGTTCGTTTGGGGTTGTGTCCCATCCGGTATCACGGCATTGATATCTTTCGAACATTGTTTTATGTATCTTCTGTTATAATAGGTGTTTCTCTCAAGTTTTACTTGAATAACATTGTTCTTTAAAAATCTTTCAGTTCAAATTCCAGTACTCTTCACTACGGTATTTTATTATTTTTCTTAGTGTGTTTCATTATCCTTTTCATTTACACACATGGGACGTCAGCTAACGGATGAACAGCTGTCTTTTCCCCTAACACTTCAAGATATACATTTTTTGTTATATTTGCGCCTATTTTAAAAATGGAGATTAGGGCACACCTTTATGACGTCACTCTTTCAATTCGTGCATTATAAAATTTGACCAAACATTTCAAAACTTCCAAAACGTTACGATAAGCAAAATAAACGAAACCTCCAATGTTCTAAAATGACCTATGTATTCCTGTTTCTTGATTTGTGTGTCCATCTTTGTGACGGTAGCATGTAAATACTGGAGTCTTTACAAGACAAACAATTGATTGATATGAACAATTCCTTCCCTGTTGGACATCAATGTATTCATGCAGAGGAGAGACCCTATGTTTGTGATGTTTGCAATAAGTCATCTGTACAAGACAACTAGCCAGCTACTCATAAGCGCATACACACTTGAGGGAAGCATATTCTTTTCAGCTGTGTGGGAAGAGTAACTTGAGTCTCTTGCACATCTTGAAGCTCTTTATAATAAGATGTTCACAATAAGAGCGTTGTCGTTAAAACACACATTGCAGACCCTGAATCAAAATTCACTCCATCGAATCTAGCATAGTTCTACATTGAAAACATAGTAATTACTTCACTCACTCATTCACTGACACACTTTCAGTCCAAGTAAACTGATGGCGTGGATCATTGTGTGTTGTCCATTCGTCACATAAGTCCTGTCAAGTTCAATTTGGGCAAAAATGATCCTCACTATGATAAAGAAACCTTATCTGATTTTACAAATTATCACCATGGCAGCCGCATGAAAATGTCCTTTTCCCCATTAATCCGACATTTCTGTGGTACGGGCAATACCATGTCAGATGGTTTTGGTCATATACATGTATATTTTATCGTTTACCCTTAAGAACAACCTATGGCTTTATGATGGTGAAAGTTATTGTCTACTGATCGCAGCATTGATGTCTCTTAAACATTTCACACAGATTTCTGATCCAGTATTTGACAGCCATAACAATTTGCCATAACAATTGACTGGATTTGCCATTTCTGCATGTTTCATCATGGAATATCCATGTTGTTTTCTTGTACCTCTTCTTTTAGTGTCAATACATGCATATTATTGTTTACCCGTTTATCATATTCATATTCCAGAAATATTCATGTGAGCTAGGTATTCATGTGGACCTACTTTCTTTTTCCTTTTAAAAGTTAAGTACTTTGTGGGCATTGAGCTTTACACCTTTTTCTTTCCTTTTTGAAAGATGTGTTTAATCTTAAGCTCTGTATGAAGTCTGTGAGTATGCTCAAAAGTGTTATATACAGAAAACGGCTGTTACTGACCGGTGTCTGTGTAATCCAACAATGTTCACAAAGTTAATCAGTCCTCTGACAACAACACCCCACCAAAGTATGACGCAGAAGATTGATAAATATATCCCGAATGATCTGTTTCCACCCACGCCTCCTCCCCCTGGTCCAGATGGGTGACAGTTACAGCAGAAGCATCAGCCTCATCAATACTCGGGTCTGTTTTCACGTACCCGCCTGCAATGTTTTCATCTACCTCTCCTGATTTCATGATATGGACGTACATGCCAGTGATTGTCGACCCTCTGGCTTCTATCTGCGTCCAGAACATGTAGGTTCCATTGACGGGCGCAGTGAACTTCCCTGTGGTGGTGTTGTAGGTAGAGCCGGCGTTGTAATTGGTACCACTAAATGCCAGGGGAGTGTAAGCAGGTGATTTGTTGGGTGGGAAGTACACATGGAATGCCACAGTTCTGTTCTTTGACGCTGAAATAAAGAAACCTTATCGTTACATATGTCGTCTGTCAGTAGAGTTCATGTTTTAAAGAGACCGCCTCCGTGGTCTAGTGGTAGAGCGTCCGCCCGGAGAGCGGAAGGTCCGGGGTTCGATCCCCGGGCGCGTCATACCAAAAGACGTTTAAAGATGGTACTTGTTGTTACCCTGTCTGGCGCTCGGCATTAAGGGGCGAAAACAAGGACTCGTCGGCTCGGAGTCAGTATACTGTCTCTGAGAGGGGTATTCATGTTAAACTGCAGCATGATATCTCAGTGAGCTTGCACTATAAATCGGCATCAGTCCGGACTAGTACAAGCAGCCACTCTAACACACATACGTACATGCACGTCGCGATATAAGTGCAATAATCTTGGACGCGATGAGAACAAGTTGATTATAACAAAAATCCGGTCGACAAAGGACAGTAAAACAGGAAGGTAAATATCACAGTTTAGATATAAAACAAACTGTATCTATATTAAAACAAAGCATTGTTCATTCAGTTAGTTAATATAAATTAAAACCAGACTATAGGCTACTGGCAATCAACGCTGTACCACACCTAACTGGGGATCATGGAGACTTGCATTGCTTTTGCTTCCTGCATGATTCCCAACAGGATTTATGCCATCACTTTGGTCACCAGTGGTTGTAGGTAATGCTAGCAAATATTTAAAAAACAAACTATAATCAAGAAAATAAAAGTCAATATTATATACTTCTTTAGTATAATGTAACACAAGGTGTTGTTATCAACCAATCACCATGTCTTACAGCAGACTATTGATATCTGGAACCGTTTCGTCGCGCGCAATAGACATTTCAATTATGCAAACGAAGTTGCTTCTTTTTGAAAACAATTTGCCTGTGCTTGTTTCAAGGGAACATGCGCTTCAACCGCGTATTATATACCCAACATATATACACTCGGAAAGTGACCGTATACCATATAACATTTCCATATTGAAATAAAATATAAATAATATAATCTATAAACCTTACAAAAATACCACAAAAACATAAATAGTTCAACAAGTTTTTCATACAGTTTAAATAGAAACGACAAAACCTTTTGCATAATCATAAGAAATCTCTGCTATGAACCACAATAAAACAGATTTCATCAGCTCGAATGGATATATTTCATTTGTAAAGCTTTTTGTTTCGTAAGTTGTCAACACATAAATATGGGCACATAAATATGTAATGATACATATCCTCAGAGCCCTGACAACATGTACCGGCGCTTCAAAATACAAATGGACCGGACTTCATCCTCAGGGACGATAGTACGACCTCATAATCCAAGAGCTCTTGATGACTATTTAGAAGGAGTGAGTGAGTGAGGTTTTACGCCGCTTTTAGCAATATTCCAGCAATATCACGGCGGGGGACACCAGAAATGGGCTTCACACATTGTACCCATGTCGGGAATCGAACCCGGGTCTTCGGCGTGACGAGCTAACGCTTTAACCACTAGGCTACCCGACCGCCCCTATTTAGAAGGAGGCCATTGTCCGCATGGATTGCCCAGCCCGGTCACCAGATCTCAAATCTTCCGAACAGATGTGGAGTAGGTCGCCCTTTCAAGACACCCAGTGCTTCCGGCAACTCCACAGAATTCCCCAGTGTTCTTACTGGAACAATCTTTCCTCGGCAACCACCCAGACACCTATTGGGAGCATGAAACGACGTTGCCAGGCTGTGGTCGCATCACGTGGGTCACATACGCGCTACTGAGAGTTGCATTTTTTTATCAATGAATTTGTGTCGTGATTGTTTGACGTTTCACTTTCATTTTTACAAGTGATCTGACTGATAATTGGTCACATGTTGTTCGTTGGCATTGTGTTGTACATGACATCGAACTTTTGTTCATTAAACATTTCTTTATTCAATATTGGCTTTGGTTATTTCAACAGATGCACACAATCTGACGTATTACTTAGAATGTGGTGATCCTTCGCCAATTTTGAGTTGAATGTTACTATTAAGGCAACGTGAAAACAAACATGCACACGAACTTGTTCTGTTGTGCTTATGATATTTAGGGTTTCAAACACCCCAATTAGGCAAAATAAAGTTATGAAGTAATTCAAGGAGAGGTGAAATGGGGTTTAACGTCGCGTCCAAGATTATTGCACTTATGTAGCGACGTGCATGTACGTATGTATGTGTTTGTGTGGCTGCTTGTACTAGTCCGGACTGATGCCGATTTATAGTGCTAGCTCACTGAGATACCCCACTCAGACACAGTATACTGACTCTGAACCGACCAGTCTTTGTTTTCACCCCTTAATGCCGAGCGCCAGACACGGTAACAACAGGTACCATCTTTAAACGTCTTTTGGTATGACGCGGTCGGGGATCGAACCCCGGACCTTCCGCTCTCCGCGCGGACGCTCCACCAATAGACCACGGAGGCGGTCAGTAAATCAAGCTTTACCCAACGAAACATTTAGAATAGTTTAATACAAACCTACACTTAGATAAACAAGTGCCTTATTAATAAATTGGGGCTACGAATGGCCCAGTCGTCTAAGGCGCCGCGATTCGCTGTGCAGAGTTGCGTCCCTTGGACACGCCAGAAACCTATGATTGTGGGTTCGAATCCCGGTTCGCCCCGATTATGTTTCTAGGTTTGTCAGCACCATACCCGTGCTCGTGGGTTTCACCGAAGTTGTAAACGTCTGAGACCTGCATCACTTCGGGCTTTCCTCCCACATTAAGCTGACACGCCGTGATATAACTGTAATACTGTTAAAAGCGGCGTTAAACCAAACTCACTCACTCTCTGATTCGCTGTGCAGAGTTGCATCCCTTGGGCACGACCGAAACCTATGATTGTGGGTTCGAATCCCGGTTCGCCCCTATTATGTTTCTAGGTTTGTCAGCACCATACCCGTGCTCGTGGGTTTCACCGAAGTGGTAAACGTCTGAGACCTGCATCACTTCGGGCTTTTCTCCCACATTAAGCTGACACGCTGTGATATAACTGTAATACTGTTAAAAGCGGCGTTAAACCCAACTCACTCACTCACTGATTCGCTGTGCAGAGTTGCATCCCTTGGGCACGACAGAAACCTATGATTGTGGGTTCGAATCCCGGTTCGCCCCGATTATGTTTCTAGGTTTGTCAGCACCACACCCATGCTAGTGCAGTTGCTCGTGGTGAGACCTGCATCACTTCGGGCTTTCCTCCCACATTAAGCTGACACGCCGTGATATAACTGGAATACTGGTAAAAGCGGCGTTAAACCAAACTCGCTCACTCACTATTAATAAATGTCTACAAATATGGTTCTGAAAAATATTTACTATTTCTGGAAAGATACCTCCACCAGATTATGTTCATAATAAACCACTAACTGCTATACGTGAAGACAATATGCTTAGTGTAAACTTACCAAGCACGGTCAGCAACTGCTTGTTGTCAAGGGATTGATTTTGTGCTAGATAGAGGTCACTTCTCACCGTTTTAACTTCAGAGCCGATTAGACTCAGATTATTCTGTACTGCGTGTACATCTGCTGACACCAAATGAAGATCTTGTGAGACGTGTGTCAGAGACTGATTGTTGTCCAAAGATTGTTTCTGTACAATGGACAGATTATTTCTCAAAGTTGTGACTTCAGTTCTTGTCAAACTAAAGTTATTCTGTATATCATGTAGACCTGCAGACGTTGAGTTCATGTCTTTCTCCAGCCGTTCAAGTTGTTTTGATGTACTTTGGGTCAGCGTCTTTGTTAATTGGAGTTCCAGGTTTTGTATTTCCTGTTCATGTGTGATAAGTTTGACGTCAGACGATATATTCTGGATAAATCTGTCTGCCTCTATCTTCACATCATACACAGTAGAGTTCACGAGGTTTAGTTGATTGTCAAACATCCGGACATCTGACTGTACCGCATTTATCTGCGCCGAGTGTAACCTGACATCGTGTCTGATTGAATCAACCTCTGTATTGTTCGGCTGGCTGTTAGTATCACTAATCCTTCGTTTCATGTCGTTTAGTTCTCCTTTCACCACAGCGAGATCATTTGATGATACCCGCAGTTCTGTCTTCAGGGACGCCACTTCATCTTTCAGTGAAGAAATCTCAGCAGCTGCCTGTGCCTTGTTGGTCTGTACATCTGTCTGAAGACTGGCAACAGTCTGCTCAAGCAGAGTGACGTGATTAAGGAGGCCTGTGAGATCAGCACTACCGTCCGGTTTTGTCATGGGCATGATGAGTCCACAGAGAGACCCACTCAGCAAAATGCAAAGAAATAGAACTGCTACAAACATTGTGCAAGAAAGTTACGCCAGTCTGCCGTTTTCGACCCCTTTATCTGCAGTATCTAGATCACGTGAGTAAAAAGGATTTGAATGGGACAGCCAGACAAGACACTCCTACATGTAGTTCTGCTTAACGTTTACATCTGGTGTCCCTGATAACATATAGAAAGTTAAAAGCCTGTCCACGATGGCCTTTGTCTTGTAGTTGAAACATGACAGTGGCGTTGTGTACATAACCAGTTCATATAAATGATAAGAAACCAGGGTCAGGATGATCTAACTGACTTAAATCAGACATACAATTTATTGCACATGAATATGTTGCAAAAACTGAGTTCTGACATCTTTCCCAATAGCGGTTACTATACTCACACGCAAAAGAAACGCAAGTCGAGTATGCGGTATACATGTTATTTATTTTCAACAGTAAAGACAAGAAATACTAATAGGGCAAGATTGACAAAAAATTTACTGAAGACAGTTTAATGGATTAAAGGGCAGGTGACATAATTGTTTTTTTCAAATGTTAAGGGTTTACACAATTTCGGGTCAATACCCAAAATGTCAGTCAATACCTTGTGTGACCACCATTAGCATTGATCACTGCCACACATCTCCTGTACATTGAGTGGATCAGACGATTTGTGAAGGCCCTAGGGATCCTCCTGCACACATCAGGAGCTGTACGTAGTTCATCGACAGTTGTAGGGACTGGGCGCACATTGTGCAGACGCCTTTGAACCTCATCCCACAAGTGTTCAATGGGGTTTAGATCAGGGCTGAGGGCTGGCCACGGTAGAACACGGATGTTGTGTTGTTGCAGAAAGGCCATGGTAGCTCTGGCAACATGGGAACGACCGTTGTCCTACTGGAAAATGTGTTGTTGATGTTGTGCAAAAAATGGAACGTGGGGTCTGATCACTTAGTCGACATACCGCTGAGCAGTGACGCCGTGTCCCCGACCTTGACCAACATTCAGAAAGCACATGGGTCCAAGTCTGGCTTTAAGTCCAATCCCTGCCCATATCATGACGCTAGGTCCACCCCATGGATCCCTTTCCACAACGTTTCTGTCACCGAAACGATCACCTCGACGCCGCCAAATTCTGACTCGTCCGTCTGCATGGGACACACAAAAGCGACTTTCATCAGAGATGACACGTCTCCACTCACGATGACACCAATTGTGATGACCCTAAGACGACCGCTCCGAGGAAGATCATCTGTGGTCTGTGTAGCATTGTATCGATGCAGGAGACGGTAAGTTGTGGTTAAGTTAACGTTGAAATGACGGGCAACATCTTGGACAGACACTCCAGCTTCAAAACATCCGATAGACTGGTTTCTCTGAATTTGAGTTAGGCGTGGCATTGTTGACCAATGAGTGGTAGGTCCAAGAATCGGCCACTGTTTTATACCCACTACAGTTCGTGACAGTTCGTGCATTTACGATTTCGCGAGAAATGGGTGCATGAGAGCCACATATTCATTGAAATGGTGCGTTTTGGCGATTCGTTTTTTATGTTGCGTTTTTACTCAGGGCTGCCAAAATGCAACCAAAAATATTGACAACACCATCAGGCTTCACTACATGCTAAAACTCGTATCAATTTATGGTTCCGTGTTTGTTACCTATTTGCTTAAAACCACTTGCGTTTCTTTTTAGTGTGAGTATACTTACACATACTTATACTTACTTACACTTACTTATACTTACTCACACTTACTTATACTACTTACACGTACTTATGCTTACTTACACTTACTTATACTTACTTACACTTACTTATGCTTACTTACACTTACTATCGTGTGCATCTGGCCTGGTTTTGTTGTCGCTGCGACATTGTTGAGCAATAATCTCTCTCGCTCACTTGATTTGTTTACTGACGTCGTGTTGATTGAAGTTTATTATAACTTGCTTGTTTTTGTCATAACCAATAGAGATTAGGTTTTAGAACAGTGTGATTTACGTTTGAACAGTATTTCAGTTACATCAGGTCGTGTAAGTTTAAGGACAACCCAAGTGAGTATGTGAGTGAGTGACTATGATTTAACGCCGCTTTTAGCAATATTCCAGCAATATCACGGCGGGGGACACCAGAAATGGGCTTCACACACTGTACCGATGTCGGGAATCGAACCCGGGTCTTCGTCGTGACGAGCGAACGCTTTAACCACTAGGCTAACCGACCGCCCCACAACCCAAGTTAATGGACAACCCAAAGAGATGCAGACATTGGCCATGTGTGTCAAATCACGTGCAGGGGTATGGTGCTGAAAACCAAGAATCATAATCATGGCCAACCATGTCCCATGTTATTAGAATCATTTGAGATATAAAAAAGTCATATCAGTGAACATATCAGTAATGACCACCTGTGTTGAAGGTGGTCCAGTGGTTTAAGGTGTAACTTTTATCTGCTTGGATTTGCCTCACTTTGCCTTGCTGTTGGTCGTGTGTTCAAACCCCAGAGACACCTCTATTATGATACTCGGTCTGTCGAATCTGAAATGGACCCGTGAAGATCCGTGGTAGAAAAGGTCTTCAGCAATCCATGACTGCTGTGAAAGGCAGCTATGCTTGTCGTAAGAGGCTTCTGATTGGATCGGGTGGGCAGGTTTGCTGACTTGGTTGATGCATGTCATCGTATCCCAGTTGCGTAGATCTATGCTCATGATGTTAATCACTGGATTGTCTGGTCCAGTATTCGACCGCTGTCATATTGCTGGAATATTGCTGAGTAAGGCGTTAAACAACAAACAACGTTATGTTAACTGTGGTATGATATCTAAGATCCACACCTGCAGGTCTATAAGTTGCTCTATGCCTATGACCAACATACAATTCCACTAAAAAGCCAAAGCGTTATTTTCAGTGGATTGAATTCCCAACATAAACCCTTCAAATTTTAAATGGATAGTGTTCCTATTGAAATGTCATAGCTTTCTTCTAACACCAAATATACATTAATCAACGTATATAGGTAAATTCTATTCTTAAAGTAAATTCAATGTAGTTAATTGACAGATGCATACAAGATATTTTATGTTTCACATATATGGCTAAACACACGGTCACTCCAGCTATAGGACAGTGGCCCATTATATAATGCAAGTCTGCCCAGCCAGGCTGACAAAAAGGGTCACTCTCAGGCAACCAGTGATTAGTGTGTTAATTTCACCTCACAGGGTTGGCACACATAGTCAGTACGGCTATGAAATAAGGGTCAGGTAGGCAATATGACAACCTACTTAAATATAATCTTAAATAATGACACAAACATCCATGGTTACAGCTGATCAACTGCAGACACCTTGGATGTTGTGATCTTTAACTATGTAACATAATGAAGGCCTGGGTTGTATATATACGGCAGTTGGTGGTGGCAACTTCACTCTGCTTCCACCAATTAAACGTCAAGAACTCAGCAGCCTTCTCTGTTTTTCAGAGTGACGGCGCTACACTGCTAATTCCCCTAAATAAGTAGCGACACCCAAAAGACGTATACGTCATGCAAAAGACACGCTACGTCAACTGGTGTGAGGATCCTTTCTTTCATCAGGTCAATGACAATCAGAAGACCGGAGAACTACCGAGAGAAGCTAAGTAACTTTCAAGGTGAGTTCAATAGTGAACCCAAAAATATATCTACTCTACAGAAACCCTCAGAAAATGTTAATCCAACACAATTACCAACGCCTGTTCAAACACCAACCACTCCTACTACGTCACCAACACCTGTTCAAACTATCTCATTAACGTCCATTCAAACATCAACCTTTGCTACTGCATCATCAACCACGGCAAGAACATCGACCACTTCATCTACGAACAGGACTTCCTCGACTACATTTACCCCACCTCAAATCGGTACCACAATAACACCACCGGTCATGTCCCATCTGCAAATACCACGCTATTCAGGATCCCAAGATGCAGCCACATGGTGGACAGACTTTGAAACATGGACAAAGGCTTATTTGACGCTTACTTTCGTGCTAGAGAGCCTAGCAAAACACCGGCATCAAGGACGCTAAGATCAAAACAAGAGAGAAGTTAAACAGGCCTTTCTTCATCGATTTAGCCAATCAGAACATTTTGACCTGGCTGTTTTGTCCATTAATCAGAGAGCGTGGAGAACTACCTCAGCAGATTTCAAGATGCCACTCTCCATAAAGACATTCCAGTACAGCTTACTGTAGCCATAACATCATTGATGCAGTGGGTTTACAACAAGGAACCTAAATCTATAGAGGAGTGAGTGAGTTAAAATTTAACGTCGCATCGGCATTATTTCAGCCATATAGCGACGAGACCAAGCTAATATATACACAATTTAGTTATTTAAGCTATGTCATATTTAAAAACAATTGATGACAATTAATTGACAGAGCCTTTAATAATGTCATTTGCTAATAGCATCACACCAAATTTAAAAACAAGCATTTAATTATTCACATACATATTTAAAATTTATTATACAGACCAATTTCTTTCAAGTAATTTATGATGAGATGCCCGTTGACACGGAAAAAGAGATCTTTTAGATTTACACTTTGATAATGTGAATCCCTTGCGATTGCAAAGTCCACACAGTCAAGCAATATATGCTTGACGGTGAACCTTTCATCGCAAGGGATACACTTAGGAGGTTCGTCCTCATCTGTCTTAAGCAGATATTCGTGTGTAAACCGACTGTGGCCAATACGACACCGTCGTAAAACGACCTCGTCATGTCTTGACTGACAACCCAAGTAGTTATGACCGATTGTTGGTTTCAATTCGTGTAGTTTATTGCTTCCTACTTGGGTGTCCCACCTCTTTGGCATGAGATCCCGAGTATAAGATTTGATGGTTGGTTTGAAATCACTGTACGGGATAAGGAGTGGAGACAACGGTTTTTCAAGAGCTGCTTTAGCTGCAGTATCGGCTTTTGAGTTACCTGTTATGCCTACATGACTTGGTAACCAGCAAAAGACGATGTCACATTGGCCAGTAGAAAGATCATTATAGAGTTCTAAAATGTCAAGGATTATAGGATGATTTGAGGAGATACTTTTAAGTGCCTGAAGGCATGATAATGAATCGGAGAAAATGATGAAATTTTTGGATTGGTTTTGATGTTTGATATAGGTCAAAGCTGTAAAGATAGCTTTGGCCTCAGCAGTACAAAAATTGAACTAGTATCTGGTATTCTTGAGGAGACAGTTCTGGATCCAATGACGGTGGCACTTGCAACTTTGCCACCATCCTTGGACCCGTCTGTAAAAATGGACCTGTGAGAATTA